CTATCATTATTTTGTTTATTTTTTTTAATTTATGATCTTTGAAATTATACCAGGTAGAGCGTTTTTTTTTTTTCAATGAAAGAACACCGTTCTTTTTTTGGTTTATTGTTCAAAATGTTGACTAGTTTTTAAATGATTTAATTCTATTTATCATTAGGAACAAATAATCCGTGCTTTCTTCTTCCTGGTTAAAATTTTCTAACAGCTTTTTAGAGTGTCAAAATGAAAATTATCTATCTCAATTTTAATTTTTCTAAGAAAAAAAAATTCAGAATCTGCAGATAATTGGAAGGCTTTATCGTCATTTCTTTGCAATGCACATCGTAATTTTTCTTTTTACTACTGTCAACATTATATCAAAAACTGTTTCTAATTTTTAAAATTGATCTTTTTTCAAAATTTCGGGTACAAACGCCGCATATATATATATATATATATATATATATATATATCGAAAATCTTGCTAAACCGTAATTAGCTTTTTTTCAGCACAGTTTGCCGAGTAACCATGTCTGACGAAGAAGAGCAAGTGTAAGCATGTTATTTATTTTTATATTATCACTAGTATTACTATTATTATTATTGTTATTATTATTGTTGCTATTCTTATTTTTTGCTGCTATTACTGTTAAAATTATAGTTATTTCCTTTGTCTGTATCATTTTTTAACTTTTTACCTTTTTCTCGTTCAAGCATTCAATTTACAAATACAAATAAAAAAGAAATTGATATTTATCGCACCAGTGTTTTTTATAGTGCTTTTTTCAAAAATCACAATTTTAGAGTAAGCGAAGAGGAGGAGGAGGAAGAAGAAGAGGAAGCAGCACAAACTGACGAGGAGGAGCATGAGGGCAAAGAGGAAGGCAAGGTAGAGAAGGAGGAAAAAGACGAAAAAGAAGGACAAGAAGAAAAACCAAAGTTTGCTTTGAAAAAGATAGCCAAATAACAGAAATTTATTTTGTAAAATCAAATCTATCTCTTTTTCTAAATTCGATATAATATGCCTATTTGAAAAGGAACGGAGGCATCCATAACTCAACTGCAAAGGTCAGTTTGATATATTGTAATGCATTTCCAGAGATCGTCGTAGCGCTCCCGATGAGGATCCCGCAAAGATGACCGAAGCAGCAAAAGCAATGGCAGTAAGTTTTTAGTAGGACAGTCTATTTTTCCACTGTTTGATTTTTTTTTCTGTTTTTTTTTTTTCTACGCTAGGCATACTATATGATTATCTGTTAAAAAAGCGTTGTACTGGGAATTAAACGATTTAATTTGCTATATCAAAGGCTGCAAAGAAACGTCATGAGGAAGAAGAGGCTGCGAAGATGCTTGGTTATGAGGAACGACGGCGCATTGAGCGTGAGAAGGCTGAAGAGGAACTTAGAGTTTTGAAAGAGCGACAACAGCTTCGTAAGGCCCAGAGGCTTGAGGAAGAACGTGAATTCGCTGAAAAACTCCGACAAGAAGAGGAGAAACGTCGTCATGAAGAGGTTGTTAAGTATAGTTTTTCGAAACGATTATTATAGCTAGTAGTTTTCTGCACAATATTAGAAATTATGATTAAAAAGTGAGACGAGAAGTAAGTTTTGAGTGCATTAAACTGGTAAACCTTGAAATTCACTTGTCGTATTTTATTTCAAAACAGAAATGTTAGAAACCAGTTATGAGGCAATTACTTGACATTGCAGTCTAAAGGTGGCATCATATATTCACTTAGTAATGAGATTTTACATAAATCATTGGATTTAGGAAGTTAGAAAAGCCAAACAGGAAGAAGAAAAGCTCAGGAAAGAAGCCGAAAGGCGTAAACGTCAAGAAATGATGGCGGGCTCTTTCGGCACTGCAGCCCGAGGCGATGCTGGCAAAAACTACGTCATTTCGAAGGCAGACAGAAAAGAGAAGTTCGGCAATCTAGCTCAAGTATAATGAAATTTTCAGCATTTAATTTACAGCTGTTATACCATAGTAATGTAATTTTCACTCGCTGAATTTCAGGCTAGAAGTGCAGAGCTTGAGGCACAGAAGCAAGAGAACAAAAAAGCGTTTTTAGCGCAGGTATCTCGAGTTCGGGCTGACACATCTGATATGCTTGTTAACGACTTGAGGGAGAGAATCAAGCGTTTACATGCACAAATTGTTCGGTTAGAAGCTGAAAAATATGACTTGGAGAAACGACATGAAAGTCAAGAATACGACGTAAGCAGTTCATTTTCAGACATTGATAAAAACTTCGCAGATCATGGAATCTGAGCTGTGCAGCTTAGGTTTTGCTTGATCCGTATTTCTACATTTCCTGGCGGCTCGAAGGTCTATTCATAGTTTTGCGTAAATAGGCAGAAAAATGTCGATGAATTACAGCAACATTTGCCTTAAGAGCATCTATTTTTAATTTACTTTAGCTTAAAGAACTACACGAACGGGAGAAACAAATGGCAAGAAATAAGGCATTAAAGAAGGGTTTGAATCCGGAAGAAGCTTCAGCCTCACTTATTCCTGTTAGTATTACCTTCATTGGCAGGACTGTTGTTCCTATAGTAACCATATGCAGACTAAAAAACCTCACGTTTGAAAATTTTGTTTGAAAATTGTTCTTTTTAAGCCGAAGATCAATGTGGCTTCCAAATTCGACCGACAAATTGATCGTCGTTCGTATAGTGACAGAAGAAATCTTTACGAAAATGTAATTTTTTTAATTTTTGTCGAATACAAAAAACTGATTTTTTGGCTTTATGATTATTGATATTTTTTTTAGAACTTATTCTGAAAGTAACTTTCCTGTCACCTGTTTTTCTTAAACGACTAAATTATCTTTATACATCAAAATGTAAAGTTTGCTTACCTGCATTTTTTCCAACTGAACATAATGGTATTTTTATGACTATTTTAGCCGGTGATTCCAAGAGCTCCAAAATTAGCTCGAGGCACGGCTCGACCACCGCCGGAATGGGGACGGCGTGTTAATGAAGAATTAGAAACAATTAGGAAAAACCTTGAACCACCGAAGTACGTAGAACAGATCAAGGTGGAAGATGCTCGACCACCTGTTGAGCCAAAGCCACTGGTACTGCCCGGTGAGGGTGACACCGATGAAGAGCCGGAGAAGGAGCTGGAACTGAAAGCAGAAGAAGAGCGGCCGGAGGAGCCTGTAGAAGAACATCAAGTTGGAATTTACTTGTGTTATTTTCGCTTTTGTTAAAACAATAAAAGCAGCTGTGATTTACACAGCGCTCTTCCTTTGTTCTTTAATTTATTTATTTATTTTTTTTTTGTATTTAACAGCTATCGGTTTTTATTTTTCGTTCTGTATCTGATCAGTCTCTCTGCAAAATCGTATTCAATTTTATATTTCAGGAGGAGGAACCGGTGAAAGCGAAACCAGCAGTTCCTGCAAAGAAACGTGTAAAGTAAACGATCATTTAATATAAGCGTACAGCTAACGAAACTAATTGGTAGACTAAAAAGTGAAACAAATATTTTTTTTTTAATGACTTAATAAGAAATCTTTTTTTGAATATGTTTTGCTCTCGACATTTATTTGTGCTGTAATGCTCAATAAAGCTTTTTTCTGCATAACTATCATACAAGAAATAATGTAAAAAAAAATTATCTTGCAAATAAAATTGTTCAAATTTGTTTCATAACGGGGGGGAAAGTACAAATAGGTCAAATACAGTAGATTTTTTTGTATGTAGAAGAAAATATGTTAAATAGAAGAAAAAAGGTTAAGAGAACTGCATTTGAAGTGTTGCAGTGCATGGAACCATCAAGGAACCATGTGACATATTGATTCATCATATATCATTTAATTCTTCACCAATTAATTTAACATTTTGGTCTATTTATACAGCAAAATATTAGCACTTTTTTAATTCATAGGAAAATGGAAATTAATTTGGTAGCCAAAGTTGAGTAAATAGCCAGTTATCTCAGGTAATAACACTCAAAAAACAGACTAATCGCTAGATTTCAGTAGGAATGTAGGAATTCTGTTCTGCAAGAATGACTTGTAAAACTAATTGAAAAAGTGACATTTTTTTGTTCTT